CCTCTCAATAAATGATGGCAACATTTGCATCTGTAGCTTACCCAAACTTACAGGCATGGCCATAGGCAAGGGCACGTCCTTGAGTGTTAGAGACCTACTCGAATACTAGCTTCATCGTTGTCATCTGCATGTTCATTAATCTTGTGTGACTCTGTCCTGACTGCACCTTTGGCATTTTAAATATTACATGTTGACAGCACTGAGTATTACACATTGACAGGTAGATTACGTACATGTGAAATAGGTAGATGGGGTGAATTATGATTAAGACACTTGACATTCTTATACAATACGTGTTGGCTAATTTCAAGTTAATACGATATGACTTTCTTGGTAGTTTACATATATCATTCCATTCTCTTTTAAGACGGTGTGATAAATTGATTATTATGCATGGTCGGTTCTTGTTTTGAAAGTAGGTTTCATCATCAGAGTATCACTCATGAAGTAACGCAATGACTCTCATTGGAAAGCAAGTCCCGTACAATATAGCCTAGGCATACTAGTAGTTATCAGACTGGTTAAATCCACCCTTTGGCGTAACTTTGGCCCAGCTTTGTACGGCTTGTAACTCCATATCCTAACATAAATTCCATGAATTACAATCTAATAAACAGCGTCCTGCTGTATATGCTAGTGGCAAATTTCATTCTACACCTCAAAGCAAAAAAAAAAAAAAACTTATAAAACATGACAATAATAACGATGATGAAACATTCCCGGTATGTGTGTAAGTTCATTTGCTATTTATCAGGCCTTCTAAGTTACTTATATGATAATTGTTTGTTCATTGCTACGGTCTCCTGTGGGGTGTATATCTATACCTCACTGTATGTGGTATTGTTTTATTGGTGTAATAATAGTTTGTCACTAACTCACGTGTTTGTGAAGTCAAACATTATGACAACGATAATGTAAAACATTTGTTTACGGTTTTATTTTCTTACCTCAAGTGCAATAAATTCCCATGTTTATGACTGTTTTACTTTATTGATACCAATACATTACTAATGTAATAAACTGTAGAATACGTATAGTGCAGTTTTTCATCAATCTTATCCGGAACCCACAGCTCAAACTGGGAGTATCGTGTTCTTTGTTTTTTTCTCATTAGGTCATTCACCGTTTGTTATTGTAAATATATATAAGTACAAGGCCCTGAATAGCTGTTAGTATACGTGGCATAATTGACTTTTCTAAAGCCGTAATTTGCAGGAGCAATGCAACATCCATTCGTGTCCGTTACACTCATTCAGCACCGCACAGTGTAAAAATAATTGTAGATAAACCATATCATACGACATAGAGCAGTTCACAGTCCTTGTGAGGTCTGTGTCCAACAACTTCATAGCAAAGGTTGCATGTTGCTGATTGCTACAGAACATGCTATTCCACGTCCTGGTGAACTGGGCTACTTTAAAATCATAGCCTACCTTTAGTCCTGTCTGTCAATGAGTCCTCACAACACTAATGTTACACTCAATATGGAATGAAGTTGAATAGGATATGACCGATGCTGACCGAAAGACTTGCTTGCATCAAGAAAAAAGCTGAATGCCGTCTCTTTCATCTGCCAATCGTTACAGGAACGAGCCTCACCAAAGGCAAGCCCATTGACGTCAGTCGAGGATTCTAAAGCCATCATCACGTCGGGAACTTCTCTTCTTTGCAATAACTTAAATGGTTCAAAAGTACTACCTCAAGTAAACTTATAGTACAGATTCCAAGTTGTTCGACCAATGTGCGTCATGCCCTACTTCCTAGTTACATGGTGAAGTCCATGCCGTACAAAAAAATGGCACAGGATTAAAGTAATGAACTCGACATTTCTTTTCAAAGCTTTTTTCTTCATTTTGATAGTTGGTGTGACATGGTTAGGCCGTCTGATCAATTAAATAGTGGCTCTGGATTCACTCTGTACATTCAAAGTTGCTATATTACATGAAACTTTTCACAATGAATATATGGAGAGAAAGTGCTGTAAACACTGTCAAGCCTTCAGAAGAAAAGGGTTACGCCGGAAATAGAATTGTGCAACCTGCACTTAACCGATAACGGTAATCTACCAACCACGGAGCCACAGCTATTCTCAGCTACCTAATATATTTTTTAGGTTGTTAATTAAGATTTTTTGCATGTAACAGCATGCGAATACTTTATTTAATTGAAGCAGCAATCCTTTCCATCGCTAGTAAAAGTTATTGTGCTAGTACATGATAAGCTGTGTTCCTTTCATGAGCCTTGCCTCGGGGGGTATGTTCTCACCCCATTGGTTCCATCGGTCTTTTTATCGCATGATTGAAAACACGCCGTAATGACTTGTCGCTGAATTACCACGGGCAGAATTTTCATTTCTCCCCCAGCTTCCATAGGATATCCTCGGTGGAATACTAAATGATACCAATCATTTAATGTGAGCCGCCAATATTGGACCTCATTAGGGGGTATGCGGTGTGGGTTACGGTACAACACCTCTTCGCAGCCCGTGAGACCTGGATCTAGTGCCAGACGGCAAGGGCAATGGGATGACTAGGAAGCTTCTCTGTGGAGCTTTAGCGCCCGTGTGTATGTACCTCTAGCCCGCCTGACCTTGGCGCCCTGTGCGGCACGGGGTTGAGTTGTTGTCAGCTGCCTCGGGATACGAGCTATTTTTATTCCCAGTTTAGATGTCCATCAGGTAATATTAAGACGAGACCGCATGCCTAACGAAAGTTGACTTCAATCGATTTTTGTGAGAGGACAAATCAAAAATGATGGGCCCTACCTATCCCTTTTCTTGCAGGATCATTGATGTGTAATGTTGAGGAATTACGCATCTCGGCAGTAGCAGACAGGGAGACAGCCGTGTAACACTGCTCCGGGAGCTGGAGGACAGATTTGAAGATGGCCGAACCGACCGTTGCTGTGTATGCCAAGATCACTGGGATACTATGCATCGTCCTGGCTGGTGAGCAACCTTTATCACCTATTCACCTTCATCTGTGCGATTTAGTGAGAGATGTATCTATATTGCAGACATATCTAGTAGGTTAATGACTGTTCTAAATCACCTTGATATTGCCTACTGTTCGTTAGCTAGGGCATTTAGAATGCAAAATTGGTCTGGCCAATAATAACTATGGACTCATCTGTTTTACTTTCATGGCATCCGATGTAAATGTTACCAAATACCTTCTTATTATGCCCCTATTTATTGCATTTGCGGGACGGAACGTGGTCTTATTATAAAAAAGGGTGTTTAGACGTGGTTTTAAGGACCACATATTCACAGCTTTGCCGTTATGCTACACCGAAGAAGCGTCGCACGGGTGATAGAATTACAGTATACTCCGTAATAGAATACGACGGTCCGTGAGTCCGTCATCTTCTTTGATAGCCACAACGATTGTGATCCTGAAACATTATACAGTCGGGCGAGCCTCAGTAGTCCTATACTTCACTTCTGCTCAACACGGGGTATGTGAAGCGCAGAAAAAGCGCTGGATTTAAATTGATTGAATTGTCCTTTAGGTACTGTGCTTCCCTTGGTACTGACAGGAATCTGTATCACCGTCTTGCTTCGTTACACTGTGAACCAAACGTGATATGGATAGTATTTACGACGCAGAACTTTTGCCAGTTAGACTGTACGCTTTGGGAGTTATCCGGCGGTGGTTGCTTAGACTTCCAGGCAGCAAGCAATATAGTCCTGTGCCAAAAGCGTCTTCTCGTGATTTAAACTAATGATCCAACCGCAATCTACGGGATTAATAGAACGATAAAAGGGTAGCTGCGCCGTGTTAAATGAGGATCTTTGTTTATACTTCAATTTCGTGGTCAGCTATATCTGGTTAAGTCATGCATGATGGTAATTGGCCATTTTCCGGATCGTTTCGTCTACGCGAATATCCGGCTTGGTGTTAATGGTATCACGGCGGCAACTGATAACAGAACTAAAAGGGAATATTTGAAAAGCCGAACAACTGTTTTCCTCTCTTTCAATGTGGGGATGACTACTTTTTAAAAATAATCAATAAAAATCGATTGGATTTTCTATTGACACTCCAATGGCCTCAAGCTGTCAACTTGTATCCTTTATTACATAGGGCAGCACAGGGGCTACAAAATTAAAGGTTTCCTAGTATTCTTAATGATATCCAAATCAATGGGATAGACAAAAACAAAAGAAAATAAACTGCAATCATCTTACAGTGATGTTCAAATTGTTGCAAGTAGCATTTCCTCGACCGAGTCAAAGAATCTGTCCAATGAAGAATCCGGAATTTATACATTATATGTCGTATAGCGATAAACACTGAGAGTCCTTGACATCTATACATACATGCCATCTATAAAGTTTACCAGAGTTGGAAAAACCGTTAACATTAGCTGGTATCGTCGTCAACATCTTGGCACTGGCGACTTCTTTAGACCCTTGCCAAGACCTACTACATTTTACCCAGTGGCAGCTGGCTTACTGGGTGTTCGGAAAGCTTTTACATCAAACGAGATTATAGATGTACCCCCGGTCCTACACAAGGGCCATTTGGCTGTTATTTCTGTCGGTATTCAAAGAGCATCTCTCGTAAATGGCTATTGACTAGGAATGAATGGTGATTTTAGGGTCTGCTGGTCTCACTGCAGGAGTAAATATGTTTAGCAGCGCCCATGCCGCTGGCTGCTTTGAGTTCCTCACAAAATCCATTTATTACAAATGAAATGATAGATTGTCCTGTCAGGGAATGATACAGTCTACCGCCCAGTGAGCTTGGACTCCATTACACATGGCCTCAATAGTTAGATAACCACATGACTGCGCTCGTGTACGTGCGAGCATTCATCAGCATACCTTGTGTTTCATGCTATGATGCTGAGTTATGGTCTCATACGGGGAGGTGGTAATACACGTGTCTACAAATCATTGCCTTTATCATGGCGTATCTGTCTTCTGTTGGAAAATGATGGTTTTAGTCTGTTAATTGCCACAGGCGGAATCTGAATGTGTTTGCCCCTCATCCACCATGTCTGTATATCCGTCTGTGTGCAGTCTGGCAAAGATGATTTGTTTTGTGTCAAGTGAGTCACGTGCTCGATCAAAGCGCTCACTGCGCCGAAGAACTGTTTCTAGACGATAAACTGTATGCTCAAAAATAGAGTCTGAGATACTATAATATATTCTATCATATCTGACGACAGATGGGCATGTAAACATCGTTGGTTAAGCGATTGGTTGATTAGTTTTTTCATATGTCTAACTAATTAAGAAAGTTTATTGCAAATTCATGACCGAGGGCTAATTGCAAGAACATGAGAACAATAAACAGTAAAATTAATATTAAGCAATGCTGATTCTTCTTTTGGTATAGTTATTGTTGGGTTTGATTTCTTTTCTGTGTGCAGTGAGTATAAAATAGCCGACATTTTGCGGTGTATGAATTGGGACGTATTAATAGAAATGCAGTTTTCTGTCGGCTGGGAAGGTGAATAAAGCCAAGGAACATTTCGGTGGCAATTTTAAATAACCTAAGTACATGAAGCAAGCATTTAGATACTGTAGAACACAATTTGCACTTGAAATTCTAGTAGATGAAGTTTCTTTATTATTACAACAAACTAACGTATTTTGCTTGTTGTGTATATATTGGACAGACAGTACCCCATCGTGTGATGCACTGCATACTTTGGTGGCATCACAACGGAAATCTCGTTGAGAGAAGAACTATTTTAACAATAGAAAGTGACAGAATATTACTAGAGAAAAGAAACAGCATTGTGTAGGGACGAATGTAAATGCCATAGGGGATAGACAGGTGAAGAAAAGGATTTATCTTTTGCAACAGCAGCATATTTTGCACACCTAACTTACAACATTTCTTGGAAATAAGCATACTTATGTAATTTGTTACGTCATATCTCGCTGGGTCTATCTTATGTCACCATAGCATGGTCACAAGGAACATACAGCGACTTATTTGTAAATCTTATAATGGCATTTTTGTCCCAAAAGTGCAGTCCACTTCACCAAACTCCCTGCAGACCTTCCTTATAGTACTTACAGCTGCTTAATACGGATTTCGACAGATTCGTAGGCCCAACAATGGGCAATAGAAAAAACTGTGGTAAGATAATGCATTCTGCGGTTGCCAGGTCATGACCTAAAAGAGTAACTTATATCTATCCATTGATTGAATTAAGTATTAAAGAATATTTATTTGCTACAAGCGAATAGACAATAAAAAGCTCAGGTCACTAGTGCTCCCACCGGCAATAGAGCCGGCGGACTACACCACTTCTTAAATTAAAAATGCTTTTTGTGGAGGCCATAGAGAGGTTGTACCACCGGAATGGGGCTCATAAGATGCAATAAAACATTTCTATTGTAGAGCAATACCAGAGGAATGTATTGCAATTATATTAAAGTTAATGCATAAAAATGCAACAAAAAAGGGATACCTTTGAAAATATAGAACCATTCATATCGTCCGCCATGCACTTCAAACGCACAGCCAGAAGGCAGATCGCAGAGCTGAATTTATCTTGTTAGGAATTTACGTTTCTTTACTTTATTTGATGGTGAACTGTTTTTGGTTGGTTTTAATATAGTATTATGGCGAGAGAACCAGACCAAGTCGTGTATTAACTGGGTCAATTCCTGATCCACGTAGTCATTTAGCGAGAAAAGCCGAGAAGACATTCCGATAATCTCCTTGAAAGTGGTCCCATTACCCCCATATCAAGAAGATTATAGACCAGATTATATTCCTTCAGAGATCATCTGACAGAAAACCCTACCTGTCCTGGTGTTGGCCGTCGTTCCGCTGCTGTAGTCGTCAATTGTCCATGAAACCCGATCCACCGTCACAGCAGTTTGGAACGCCATGTAAAGATCAGTCTTTAGGATCGATGCGCATGACTCAGTAATGAAGCGTTGTTTAACTAGTCTCCTGGTATCATCTTCTAACCATGTCGTTACAGCACAGGGTGAACCGTATGCTGAGACACCTAATGTAGCATGCGGAAACGCCTAAGGGTATTTGAGCAGTGGGTTCTGGTTATCATCAACTAGATGCGTAGTTACATATTGCCTTTTGCCTCCTCGTCCTTGTAATTACGTTACAACAAATAGGCTAAAACTGTCAGGATCATTTAGACATTTTGCTGTGTTGGAGGCAATGGGGCAACTTTGTGACGCCCATACCTTGTTCTGCTGACTTTAATTCATTATTCATATAGAATTTATCAATTAATATACAATGGGGGTGGACTGCCTTCTAATTTACCGAATGAATCAATATTAAATATTGATATGGACTTGTTGGAATCATTTGCGACGTGAGATACATAGAGCTGCAAGTTTTACCAGCAAGCACAGCGGTGATAAAACTCAGAAATAAGTTTCTGTAGCTCGCTAGTTTTACTAGTAGCTAACTCTTCGTGAGTTATAGCCCAATGGCACTGTTCGGACGAAATGTATACGTTCCCTAAAGAACAAAGGCTCTCGTCATGTCTTTTATCCAGTGCATGCCAAACATACGAACGTACAAGAAGAACTTTTCCTAATGGTCTAATTATTTTCACTCTATAGTCGTCTCCCCACTGACGCTGCAAGACATCCTACGGTGAATTTACTACCTTGTTAGACTCTCTCACAGGCTCGAGTCTCTCTGAAGTTCACTTTCAACTCTCTGCGTGTCTTTAACTACCACACATCAATGACTACCGGTAACGACTAACTTCAGCATGGACTGTAATTAGCCAATCCATCTAAGCCTGTTCACATCACACCAACAGTTCACAACCGTCTAATTTACGGTTCTTGGGAGGTAATCAACGACTGCTTGTCTGGGAGAAGCCCCTCTTCAAATAGCTTGGGAAGAAAATGCGTACTCGTTCAAGTCACATCTAATTGAACAATTTGTCAATCTGGTGTACAACTTGGCCACCCAACTTCTTTGGGTTTTTTTTTGGTGTTGTTGAGGAGAACCATTTGTACGTAGAAGTCTTGTTAACGTTAAGGAGCTACGTTGATGAAACGTGGCAACCTCTGGGCTCAAACTTACTAACGTTCTTGTTCATATTTGCCAGGTCGTAACAGTGCTGAAGTTATGAGTTACAAGTAGGTTAGATATGCCAATCTGACGTATTAAAGCATATTATCATTTGAGTAATGATTAGGTTGAGTTAGTATTTGGGGACTGAAAACGATGATAAATACAACCATGCAGCCAGAGAGTCAGTGCTCCAAACTTAACCTTTGGTGCTTAAAACAATAAATAAGTTTAACTGATTTCAGTTACTAAACTGTAGAAATGATTAGTTGCATTACACTTCGACCGCGGGATCATATCATGCAAAACTTCAGATAAATATGAGGGGAACTTGCCTAAGTAAGCAACCCGTTCAGCAGATGTAAAACATTCGCCGGAAAATTTACTACAAATTGCCTCTTATACCCCCAGACAGTCATCTGCCGCAGCTTATTATGGATCACTTCTACCCCGTAACGCAGCTTTAAATGTTGAATTACAGTCTCTTGGCATTTCGATTTGGTGAAAACTAAGCTTTACCTACCTACCGTGGTGTCATTTTAGTAGACTAGTAAAACATTCTGACACGAGTGCGAATAGATCACGCCACCATTTACGCCATTCTTCCCCTATTTTCGCAGTAGCAACTTCAACACAGTTCTTAGCGCATCCTTCACGGTTCGATGATAGTCCCACGAATCGCATAAAAATAATGTCAATTACCTATTTGTATTCATCATTGAGACGCTTCATTTAACTGACTCTACTTCCTGTCCTCGATGAGCCGTTTCATATCATAGAAAATCGGGGCATTGCAACACGGGGCAGCACAGAGACAGTTCATCATGCTAGGATCTGCCTCTAAGTACGTCCTTTTCATGAACATGTATGATAGAGTGCACCTTATCGTAATGGTTGCTTATCATACGGCGACCTATGGTATTTAGATTCCATTCCAGGCAGGTTCAGGTCCACCGAGTGTAACAGGGTGCGTATGGAATCTATTGAGAATACTAAATAGCCCGTGGAGGAGCCAGGTGGCGAAAACATTAAAATTCAAAACCGCCATTTTCTCCCATGGCAACGACATCTGTCTTCTGATAGTCTTTCTGCTATAAACGTCCCCACGCATAAATTAACGTCTATATAAA